GTATGAAATACTATGAATACATCCCCTCAGGAAGGGGGTGTATTATAGGGGTCCTGTTAGCTTGCCACAAGGACTGTATGGTCTGAATACATCCCCTTGGGAAGGGGGTGTATTATAGGGGTCAGGAAGGGGGTGTATTATAAGGGTCCAGTTAGCCTGCCACGAGGACTGCATGGTATGAAATACTATGAATACATCCCCTCAGGAAGGNTAGGGGTCAGGAAGGGGGTGTATTATAAGGGTCCAGTTAGCCTGCCACGAGGACTGCATGGTATGAAATACTATGAATACATCCCCTCAGGAAGGAGGTGTCTCATAGGGGTCCAGTTACCCTGCCACAAGGACTGCGTGGTCTGAATACATCCCCTCAGGAAGCGGGTGTATTATAGGGGTCAGTAAGGTGGTGTATTATAGGGGTCAGGAAGGGGGTGTATTATAGGGCTCCAGTTACCCTGCCACAAGGACTGCATGGTATGAAATACTATGAATACATCCCCCTCAGGAAGGGGGTGTATTATAGGGGTCCAGTTAGCCTGCGAGAAGGACTGCATGGTATGGATACATCCCCTCGGGAACGGGGTGTATTATAGGGGTCAGTAAGGGGGTGTAATAAAGCGATCCATTTAGCCTGCCACAAGGGCTCCATGTATGAATACGTCCCCTCAGGAAGGGGGTGTATTATAAGGGTCAGGAAGCCGATGTATTATAGGGGTTTAGTTAGCCTGCCTCAAGGACTGCATGGTATGTATACATCCCCTCAGGAAGGGGGTGTATGCCAGCGATCACTGTGGGTGTAGTCCTTGGCCTCTACAACACCCTGGGCTTAAAAAAAGAAAAAAGGAAGGCGGTGTATTATAGGGGTCAGTAAGGGGGTGTATTATAGAGGTCCAGTTAGCCTGCCACAAGGGCTGCATGGTATGAGGTGTAGTATAGGGGTGAGGGAGGGGGTGTATTATAGGGCTCCAGTGAAGGACTGCATGCATGGTATGAATTCAATCCAACAGGGAGGGGGTATGTTATGCGGGTCAGGAAGGGGTGTATTATTGGGGTCCAGCTAGCCTGCCACAAGGACTGCATGGTAGGGATGCAACCCCCCCCGGAAGGGGGTGTATTGTATGGGTCCGAAAGGGGGTGTATTACAGGGCTCAGGAAGGGGGTGTACTATAGGGCTCCAGCCTGCCACAAGGACTGCATGGTCTTAGTTCATCCTCTCAGGAAGGGGGTGTATTATATGGATCCTGTTACAGGCTATTGTGGTTCAGAACACTCCTCAGGGCCCTGCCATACCAGGGACTTCTTAAAGCACCAGTACACCACATATCGGCCCGCGGGTGTCAGCATGAAACCCGCACCACTTCGGAGGCCGCCGATTTGTTTTCTCAACGGCGAGCCTGGCCACGCGGCGCCTCCGCCTCCGAGTTTTGCTTGTGCCGACGAAAAAATTCTGCAAGGCTGGGGCCGTGTACTAGCGGTTTAAAGCACCAGTACATGGGGTCACCTGGGCCGCGGGCCTGACACGTCAAATTCTGGAAGCGCGAAACGAAAACGCGACCGCCGATCTAATTTATAAACACCAGGCCCAACATTTGACGTTTCGGCCTCGTTTTTTCTTGTGGTGACAAGTTTCGGACTGCAAGGCTGGGGCCGTGTACTAGTGGTTTACACCCTCATCATGAATGTAGACAAGCTATCTTTTGAGCCCAACACTTGCACCCCCATCATGAATGTATACAAGCAATCTTTCTAGTCCAGTACAGCCATGGCCAGGGTGCATTGTGTTCAGGGGAAGACCGTGGGGTGAGAATCGCTCAAGGACCACCATGTCAGTATGTATGTCGCTAGCAAAAATTGTTCCAGGCTTCCAGACAAAAAAAAAAAAAAAAAGGTTCCAGCC